TTCGGAGAGACTAACTTGTCACCGTCGTTAACGAGGCTCCCAATTAATGCTAAATATAAATAAAAGGGCGATTATGGAGTATCCAAGTTGATACTGCTGCTGATGAAGTGCTGGGCAGACGGCAGAGATAGCATCTCTGCACTTTGTCAGTCTTGAGCAATGGATTCAGTGGAAGTGAGTGTGGGGTGGAAGAAAGGTGCGCTGGACGATTAATTGGTCAGCGTCAGTCACTTGGCACGGCTCCAGCTCCAGAACACTGGCTGATCGTTCATTTTTACTTTCGACCTCGAGACGTGTCTGCACTTATCAGTTAGCAGTAGGGTTGAACAAGGTGCACCACACTGCGCCACCGAAAAACACTTCACCGACCCTCATAAATACAGCACAAACAAGTGAAATGCACATAGAGCACAGCGACAGTTTCCACCATGCGAAGTGTCTTGCCTGCAGCGGTGATGGAGGAGAGAATTGGAAAAGACAGAGAGGGAGAGGGAGAAAACAGGAGAAGGAAGGCAGCCTGAAGGGCTAGAGGGCTAGAATGGCGGCTGCAATGAGCAACCAGTGAGCATCAAGTGATCAAATGAAGAGCGTCCTCTGAGGCGATGTTTCGAGAGTTTCGAAATATTAGTATTCGATACAAACTGGCTACAGAAGAAGGAGAAGGAAAGAGAGATACTACTACAGAGAGTGGTAGCAGCAACAACAGCAGCAGCGGCGGTGGCGGAGGTACCGCGAGGCAGTGAAGAAGCACAACGACTACGACGACGACGAAGCCAAAGCCGAGGACATGGTTCGGAGAAATCAGGTTTCAATAAATATAAGCAAGCTGTATTGGCCTGAAGAGGCACATTCGAACAGTGCCCGCGACGATCACTCGGTGCCCACTGATCATCGATCCATCTATCCATTCATTCTGGCTCATCCATCATTTGCTCTCTGCAAAGTTATCTCTTTTTTCTTTTACCTGAAGCAACACTGATCCATCATCACCCTCAACAGAGCACTTCTGTCCCTCTTCTGCTACTCCAACACACACACACACACCGATTTGTCCTCGAAAAGTGCCCACTGGTGTTGAGTGTGAGAAGGAGTGTCACATTTCGCAATGCCCACAACCACCACAAACTGGCCAACTAATTACCAGTGGCACCGTTACCTGAAGTAAATACACACGTGCTCTCACTGACTGATTGACTGACTGACTGCAACAATTTACTGATTACACACAAGTCTGCTGAAAGCAATTCCAATTTTATTTGTTAATTCACCACATTCCAATCGCTATCACCATCACCGTCACAATCATCATCATTACCATGAGGAGCCATTCGTTTGCGGCAGAGCTTCTGCAGAGGGTAGCAGTACGCTCAACCTCGGTGGCAGCCATCACCTTGTACATGCTCTTGGCCCTCAGCTGTGACCACTACAGTGTGGTGCAATGCAGTGCCAGTGATAGACTAAACGAGTCACTACTCGCCTCACAACACTATAACCGAATACTCAAATTTGCCAAGTGTCAGGTACGTTTTACTTTCTATCAGGCAAAAAGGGCTTATCCACATTTTAAATCTCATTTGAAACCCTTTCGTTTGGCCTCATTTTCTTCTCTCCTCCACTTTTTTTCTGTAGACTCCACTTGCACAAGTAGTGAACATCAACTCCGAGCTTCACCCGAGTGCCATCAAGAAGTACATTCCCCACTGCACCATTTTGCACTACTGTGGCCCACATTCTGGCTGTTGTCGACACGAGAATGAGCAGTGCGTTCCAAAAAAGGTCGAAGAGGTGAAGCTCTACTTCTGGACCATAGAGCTGACGCCTAGGGGCCACAAGAAGGGCATCGAAGTGATCAGCATGCAGAACCACACCGAGTGTATGTGTGCACCCATCAACGGAAAGTACAGCAGCAACAACAGCAACATCAGTGGACAGCCCACTTGGAGGGTCCTGTCTTCCAGTTCATCACCGAGTTCGACCACCAGCACGACGACGACCACTACGATTACCACCACAACCAGTACGACAAGCAGCAGTGCGGATGCAATGGCGGAAGTGCCCGACTTTCTGGAGACGCAGTCCAGCGCTGGAACCCAGCTCAACAGCAGTTCACTGGAGGCAGGGGTGCACGAATCGACAGTGCACGTGTCGTCCTCTGCGGCTCACAACAGCTCGGCCTAGGCAGAGTGAGAGTGAGAGTTGTGATTGGCTTTGATTGCTGCACGGATAGAGAGACAGGCGCACACATACTCTCCCACCAGTCATCAGTGGATAATCAACGCGCGGTCGGTGGCAAAGCTGCAAGGCCGTGCCAAGCCTGGCCACTGTCTGTCCACCACCGCTGCCATCAATCATCAGCTGCTGATGGTGGCTGACAGCAATCGACAGTTTCCATCTTCATTTGGTGTTTGCATCAGCAGCAGCAGCAGCATCACAGTCCGGTGCGTGACTGGACTACGGAAGATGGTAGTGAACAGTGCGCCAGTGTTCCAGTGTGCAGCATCAGCATCAGCAGGCAACCGCACTAGCATCACATTCAGCAATTCAGCAGCATCCACAGACAGCTTTGGTGTGCTGCCGTGGCCAAGGTGAGACGCTCGATCTCAGTTGCTTGCGTTGTCGGCGACGCCATTGCACCTCCGCAACCACCACCAACACCATCCCAATCATCTCCATCTTCATTCTCATCCTCATCTTGTTCAGGGCTCGGTGCTCACTGCTCGATATTCATTCATCCGTAATTTATTGAATCACCCTCGACCTCTCTTTCCTACCCTCTTTCCTTTGAAGCAATGCCCTCCTCTCCTTCCTTTCCTTTCCTTTCCCTCTTTGGCAGCGATCATTGCTGACGCTACTGCCTTATTTATGTGTTGACTGTAAATTGTGTAAAGATGTCATGTACAATGCCCACCACCACCATCACCACCAAGCCATTAAATTCCTTTCCTTTCTCTGCTAATGCTGGTGAGAGAATAAAAGCAACTAGTAAACTAGTGAGTGAGACTAACTGACAAACACTTGCTGTGAGAGGAAGCAGTGGATGATGGGTGGGAAGATGATGGGAGATGGTGAAGAGATGATGACGATACGATTGAAGAGTGGGATCACGAAGACCGAACTGAGACAGTAGACTCAGCGGCGAGACGACGATCACAGACGAAGACAGCCATCACTGTCGAATGCCTTCACTGGACGTCGCCGCGGCAGTCGATTGAAGTGCCAGTGCCAGCAGAGGAGATGCTTCTACTTCGAATGGAGAAGATGGAGGAGGCAAAAGTACAAAGTTGGTGCTGCTTTCACTGCCTGTCAGCCAGCCGGCCTGCCTGTTCTGTGGCGCCAGTGATGATGGCTGCAGTGGAAACCCATGTTCTGAGCTCGACAAAGTGAGACACAGCAAGTGTCGAATGCAAATAAAACGAAGAACACATCGAATAAGTCAGACGTAATAACCTTGTGCTAATCGAATGCGGCAATTTATCTAATTTATGGACACACTCTGCGTGCTCCCCACTCTCTCTCTCTCTCTCCCTCTCTTGTCGCAACGAAACGCACGTCTGCTGTGCAAGTGTTGAATAATCGGATTCTGTCGCGCGCGCGATTCGGGGCTCGATTGCACAGAAGTTACTGCCTCCTCGGTGACAAGTGCCATCCTCAGAGTTAAGTTGTTGATGAAGATGCTGTTTTTAAGCACCTTTGCAGCCCTTTGATAAGCAGAAGCGGTGGTGGTGATTGCAAGTGGCCAGCAGCAAAGCAGATCAGAAGCGGGGAGAGAAAGAGTGAAAACACTTCCAATGTCATTGCCTTGCAATCGGGGTGATGAAAACCACTGCAAAGTATCTGTCACATACTTGGCACTATAAATGGAGACACTCTGTCGCACTATTTTTTTGCGGCGAATCGGAAGCGAGACTCAACACTCGGTGTCGTCAGTGCCCGAGCACCGGCCGGCAATGTGTGTCCAGTGCGAGCGACCTACTCGAGCTCGTGCAATTCCTCGATGATTGCCTCGATGATTGCCTCCTCTCCGCTGCAACTGACCATGCAGTTCCAGGGAGGGTAGTCAGTGGCACTAGTGACAACAGTGGATCAGTCAGCTCAATGCTCAGACAGTGCGCGCTAATCCCATCGGTTTGGTTGTACATTTCGTGCTGCAGAGCGTAGTGAGCGATGCAATTCAAGGCAAGTGAGCCGCAGAACGTGCACTGATCGTGTGTGCAAAACTTGGCAAATTGACTTTCATTAGGTGGTGGTGGTGTTGCAGTGGCAATTTGTACCTGCTGCTGCTGTAAGCCTTTTTGCACATTGCATAAAAGCAACAAACTAAGGTGCCCAAGGTGGTGATGGTCTCTTTAGCTGTCTTACGGCGCCTGTCATTCGCGTTGTTGTTCTCGCGAATGTTAGAACAACTTGTAGTAGACTGTAGTAGCGCATAAAAATACCCAAGACACTGACAAACAAGTAATCAAAGAGGTGGCAAATTATTCTCCAAAACTATGAAGTCGATGAAATGATCAATTGGAATTTATTGAACTTTGCCGACTTGCTTTATCCGATAAGCATTTGCGTGAAAATCGTGGAAATCGAATGTGCTGTTTGGAGCTGAATGTGCCAACATTGTGACATACTATCAGTAATTGATGGAGGCTGCTGCTATTTACAAGGTGACAGAAGGCGCATTGCAATCAGCATCNCTGCGTGAAAATCGTGGAAATCGAATTTGCTGTTTAGAGCCGAATGTGCCAACATTGTGACATACTATCAGTAATTGATGGAGGCTGCTGCNCAAATTATTCTCCAAAACTATGAAGTCGATGAAATGATCAATTGGAATTTATTGAACTTTGCCGACTTGCTTTATCCGATAAGCATTTGCGTGAAAATCGTGGAAATCGAATGTGCTGTTTGGAGCTGAATGTGCCAACATTGTGACATACTATCAGTAATTGATGGAGGCTGCTGCTATTTACAAGGTGACAGAAGGCGCATTGCAATCAGCATCATCATCAGTCTTGGCTTGTAATTACAGCTTGTGTGGTGTTTCCATCTGATTTAATTTGCATATCGCCGTTGGATGAGTTTTTAAGAGGCATCAAGTTTTGCTGGTGAATGAGCGTGCTTCCCTTTGATTCAACCTTAAAGGCAAATTGCAGGAAAAACTGCTTCGACTCTTTGTTCCACAATGTCCAAAATTTGCTCTCAGACTTGTCGACTTCTCGCGATGGAACTTTAAAACCAATCGTTTCATATGGTTCTGCAGCAAATAAAAGGTACTGCCAATGACGGTCAGGAGGCTCAATTTTCTGCTCATACGCTGACATGAATCGGTGCCGTGGTGTAATGTTGTCTCCAATTTCAGGATAGTCGATCTGTTTGATAAAGAAAAGTAAAATGCAAATATGTAATTAGTGAGCAACTTTTTAATGGCAAAAACAAATCAATTTAGATATTTACCTGGAATAGCAATGATTGCTGTTGCAAATCTTGATCAAACTGCTTGGTCACGCGGTAGCCGGGTCTTCCAATCTTGACAAACTTGCGAATATCAATGCGCGACTTGTTCAGCTGTGGTTGAGGTGCGTCTTTGGCATCTTTTGCGGCTCGACGAGCTAAATTGGACTGGTGCTTCTTTCCTTGTGTATGGGCCAGGTAAGAGCCCTCGTTGTTGTGAAGTGTCAGACAGAGTTTGCATTCATATGAGCCGAGATGATTTTTCATGAAATAGGGATCCTTTGCTAGGTCGATTGTCTCCAAGGCCAGTTGTCGCAATCGCTCACGTCGGTCTCGATTTGACTCGGACCAAGAGGCCACACCTCCACCGCCGGTTTTGGCGCCAACTCGATTTTGAAAGTCCATTTTGGCTAAAAAGAGTTCTTGGTTCACGAAAAAATACTGAAAAGTTCAAGCGCGGATTTTTTTTATCCGACAATAAAAATATTGACTCGCGCAATCGACCATCCGCAAATGAGGTACTTTTGAACATCAAAACAAATGTTACGTGTCGTTTGAAAATAATTCCGGTTTCTATATTCTGTGGATCAAGGAATGAAAATGACAAGAATTTGAACGACATTTGACAAATGTCGTCACCAGAGCTTTTTGGCAGAATTTCTTGAGTGGTTTCTGCTTTTGACAGCTTCTTTTGCGCTTCTGTGTATACAACGTGGATCACCCTGCCAACGAATCACAGCGAGCAGAATCGGATTAGATTCGGATTTGAGCTCAGTGGAAATTTTCTTTATTGAACTCTTTTGTGGGCGAGAGTTCCACGATTTTCTTCCTTGAGCACTGTGGTGTGACAGCCTAAACTGTGGCAGCTTTTGCCTCGCTGTGGCATCTGCTTCATTTGAACGCGTTATCAATAGCCGCTTCACTTCCCTGCACCNAATTTTCTTCCTTGAGCACTGTGGTGTGACAACCTAAACTGTGGCAGCTTTGGCCTCGCTGTGGCATCTGCTTCATTTGAACGCGTTATCAATAGCCGCCTTTCACTTCCCTGCACCTGTGGACTGATAAACGTCTGGCAGTATCGGCAATGCCTGTATCATTGTCCAAATCACCACTCTAGTTGCAGTCACCGTTTCACCGCAAACCGCTTGTGTTGTCTAATGAGCAAGCGTTTGCCCTGTTCTTCATTCCTCTTCACATTGCCATAGATTTTATTAAGTATTCCTGTGCCAAAGTATTTGAAGGTATTCTTCTTTTGCTATTGTCATGTCAAGTCAAAAAGTTAACTGACCATGTTTCATTCTATCAGATAGTCAAAATGATGCAGCTATGTACCTTTTCACTGGCCGTTTTCCTGATGGTGCTACTGAACTTCGACATGTTGATGGTCAACTCGGAGACTTTCAATGCAGAGCTGAACTCACAGAATCTTGGGACTGCCTTTGAGTTTAAAATTCACCTGGACGCCGGCAAAGAAGACTGCTACTATCAGATGGTTGAGAGTGGTGCTTCGTTTTACGTGGCCTTTCACGTAAGTGTATACTGGTACTTTTAAAACACGTCTCATTAACCACTGCTTGCGCTCACCTACAGGTCCTTCGCGGCGGTGACACCAATGCCGGATTTTACATCAATGACCCTAACGGACAGACTATCATGCCGTACCAGTGGAAACAGCACGCCGAGTTTGATGATGGCCAAGTGACAAACGCCGGTATGGTATTTTCATCTGTTCAAATTACATTTGTTTCATTCTGTAAATTCATTTTTCCAAGGTTACTACAGCATGTGCGTCGACAACAAGCCTTCAAGTTACCAATCAAAATTGGTCAGCCTTTACGTAGCCTCCTTTAAGAGGGACGAATGGGAAAAGTACATATCCGAACTGACTGAAGCCGATCTGACGACGAACAATGCTACTAACCTGCTGCGAAATGTCGACCACAATATTCATGAGATGCTGAAGTACTTGGAGAACTCCAAGCAACAGTACACTTACGATTCATATCTGAGTGAATCAAATCGAAAGTATGTGTTCACTTCATCAAAGCTCGTTTTTAACATTCTTTATTTTGTTTGCAGCTATGTGCAGAACTGGTCCATTCTCCAGTGCATCGTCATCATCATCTCCTCGGTGACACAGGTTTATTTTGTGCGAAAACTCTTTGCTTTTACAAATGGAAAAGGCAGCAGACCACGAGCCTAAAAGGGCGTCATCTTTTGTGTACATAGGGATTTTACTTTCTTTACATTTATTTAAAAATATAAATGATTCTTTATTCACTAACTTTGCTTATCTTGGGCAATATTCTAAATTCGTTTTACAACTATAAAACCTGAAGCTGAGGTCATTGTGAGAATGATTTCGCTGGCAGGCACTACGCTTAGTCAACTCCGGATCAACTAGGCGATGAGTCACAATTCTAGTGGTAGTGATCCAAAACGTCAGCAAAAGTTAAGCAAGAGGAGCAGCAGCAGTGGTGGTGGTCGCAAGGCAAGTGCCAGTCCGAGTGTCACTGGAACACCACCGATCAACCCGTCTACCCAAAACATGAAGCGCAACATTGGCAAAAGCAAGAGCAGCGGTCACCTGAAGCACTCGCCCTCGCTGGGCAAGGCGGGCAACCACAAGTCCCGCAGTAATTCGGCGGGGAAAAAGTCCTCCTCGTTGACTCGTCCCTCGAAGGGCTCTTCGGCCAGGCCGTCTTCTGCCTCCAGTTTATCATCGTCAAAGAAGGGTGTTCATTCGAGCAGCAGCAGCAGCAGTCTGGGCCCAGTGCAGATCAGCAACTTCTCCAAGCTGCACCTGATACAGAAGAGCGTCGCCAAGAGTCGCATTGTGCCGAAGGCTAGCGCGGGTGGCAAAGAAACAATCTCCCGTCGCAGTCGTGCGCGAAACAATCCGTCCTTGATGAAGCACAACGACAATCTGCCAGTGGAGGCTTCTGCGGCGCACACTAACCCTCAGAAGGAGTCCCCAACTGCCCGCATCTCACCGCTGTCTGCTGATGAAGTTAAGAGTGCCCTTGATCCAAAGAACATCTACAACGATGACGTCCGTCTGGAGTTTGATGAGAAGGTGATGCACGTTCTGAAGGGAACGCCCTGCGACCCTGAGCGATTTCTCCATTCGGCTCGGAGTGGCTTCAAATCCTATCTAGACCGAACGGTGGATCCGTCTAAGGTATTTACTGAGAAGGTAGAACAATATATCACTGTAAGGTAACACATTTTTCTCTGCAGCTGATGACCTACATGATCGACTATAGCAAAAAGTACTTTGATCTGAGCGAGAATGCTGACGCCTACAGCTCTCATCGCCAAGAACTGGACAACCTGCTCTGGGACAATCTGGCCTTTATCATACCAATGCTCTGCCGACAGGTGATCGATGTCTTGGAGAGAGAGGTATTGGGTCTCGCTCTTTGTGTTTTTTCAGTCTAATCAATGCTTCTTTTACCTCCTTCTCAGGAAATGATTGTAATGAATGTGAAGCCAGACGTGGTGGTCTTCGGCGACATTCACGGCAACTTTAGCGACATTCACTACATCTACCAGAACTTCATCATAAACCCGCAGTACGCTCAGACTAATTTCATCTTTCTCGGCGACTACGTCGATCGCGGACCGAAGCCAGTGGAGATTCTGTGCTTTCTCTTTGCCCTCAAGCTGACCAACCCAAATCGCATCTTTCTTCTGAGGGGCAATCATGGTGAGTCGTACGAGCAATGACTTTCTCAAACTCACCCACTGACACCACGACCCCTTTGTTTCAGAGGTGCTGAAGATCAATCGGAAGTACGGCTTCCAGCACACCTGCTGCCACCTCTTTCTGGACACGTACGTGGCGAAGCCGACGCTGGCCGAGCTGAACTACAAGTCCTTCAACCGGGTCTTCTGCTTCCTGCCCGTCGCCGCCGTCATTAAGGGCGCGGAGAAGCGTATCTTCTGCTGTCACGGCGGCGTGCCCGCCTTCTTCCACGCCGACCGAAGTGGAAGCAATGGACAGGGAAGGAGCCGGAAGCGACGCCGAGAGATGGACGTGGGCTGGTCCCTTGCCACACTGAATGACCGGGTGAGGAAGCCGGTCAATCTGGAGCCGAGCAGGCACGGCAAGCCCGAGGAGGTGGCCTGCAATGAGATCCTCTGGTAAGTGTGCTCGCGCTCGGTCTTTACATAGTTGGAGTCACTTTTGTACTTGTTCTGCTCAATCTGATCAAACTATTGTTCCAGGAACGATCCATTGCCCCTACGCTACCGGAACCGCCGGCCNGGAGGAGGTGGCCTGCAATGAGATCCTCTGGTAAGTGTGCTCGCGCTCGGTCTTTACATAGTTGGAGCCACTTTTGTACTTGTTCTGCTCAATCTGATCAAACTATTGTTCCAGGAACGATCCATTGCCCCTACGCTACCGGAACCGCCGGCCGGTGAAGAAGTTCTACGTGAACAAGAAGCGCGGCGGCCACTGCAACTTCTTCTCCGAGGCAGGGCTGAAGGCCTTCCTCGAGACGAACGGCCTGTCGATGGTCATTCGCGGCCACCAGTACAAGTGCAGCATCAAGACGGGCCACTGCTCCGACTTTGGCGGCGCCCTGCTCACCGTCTTCAGCAGCAGCAACTATTGTGGCACCGAGTCCAACAACACCGGATACGTGCACGTCAAGGGCCCGGAGTGNCGATCCATTGCCCCTACGCTACCGGAACCGCCGGCCGGTGAAGAAGTTCTACGTGAACAAGAAGCGCGGCGGCCACTGCAACTTCTTCTCCGAGGCAGGGCTGAAGGCCTTCCTCGAGACGAACGGCCTGTCGATGGTCATTCGCGGCCACCAGTACAAGTGCAGCATCAAGACGGGCCACTGCTCCGACTTTGGCGGCGCCCTGCTCACCGTCTTCAGCAGCAGCAACTATTGTGGCACCGAGTCCAACAACACCGGATACGTGCACGTCAAGGGCCCGGAGTGCCGCGTCCAGGCGCACACGCTGCGCACGGCGCAGGAGGCGGCCAAGTACCGCCAGTTTAACGTCCTCAAGATGCTCGTCGACGAGCGCACCAAGGCCGTCACCTATGTGGCCTTCTGAGGGGGGGCCTCCTTAGCTCTCTTCCAATCTTTGTTTGAAGCCGACATGAGCATTGTAAAACTATATAATTTATAAGAAATGGTCTTTATTCACGGCGAGTCGTACAGTCGATGATGGTACAGTCGATGATGGTGATCGATTAGCAGTTCACTTTGAGGTTCTTTATTTGGTTCTCCACCCACTGCAGCACGTTCATGTGCGAGTTGAGGATCTTTGAGATTTGTACAATGGGGTCGTTCGAGTCTTGATTCGATTTAGTTTCGTTCAGCTTCTTAATAAAGTCCTGTAGCGAGTATTAAAGTAATGAGTAGGTTTAAAAGTTGCAAAATTGAGAATAATACACTGTACCTTGAGGTCACTGCCAATTGCATTGAGATCATTGTTCACCGTCTCCACCATCGAGTACGTGTGCTCGCGCTCGGTGTTTACATAGTTGGAGCCACTTTCGTACTTGTTCTGCTCAATCTGATCAAGTAATTGCTCCAGTTCCTTCTGCTGAGCAATAATAAAATCCAATTGGTGATCTAATCCACGATGAGCACTTCTAAGCTTCTCGGTCGTTTGCTTCATCTCAATCAACTTCTGGCCATTGGAAATGAGCAGTGAATCCCATGAATTGATGGTTTGCCCTTGCGAATGAAAGTCCGACTCAAACTGTGTCAACTCATTCATCCATAAATTAATTTGATCTTCCAACTTTCCAAAAGTAATTTCTGGAAAAACAATAAATGAAGATCCATTAGTTGTGCTTGTTTTAAAAATAATGCAAGTGCACTTACGAGGAACGGCGGCAGTTGCAGTAGTGGGGGCAGTAGAAGTTACTGGAAGAGACACGGGTGCACTCGCTGTTGTAGTTTGAGGAGCTGAACTCGTCGCAAGAGAAGTAATTGAAAATCCCGTTGTTGGTTTCAGTGATACACTTGAAGTGGTAGTAGTTGTAGTTGTGGAGCTGGCTGAGCTAGTGACACTTGCTTGATTGCCGAAGCTTGTCAATGAACTTAAGGTGTTGCTGCCTACAAATGTTGAGGATTTGTTTAATTGAAGTTTTCTATCATTCTAAAATTATGCACTTACCAAGAGCGGGGGCTGCAAATGTTGCAGTTGAAGCAGGAGGAGCTGTAGCACCAAAAGACGGTAC